TTAGTTGTTTACGGTGACGTATTTTAAGGTGCAAAGAATAAGGACGTAAATTTTGCGACGCCGCAATATTCATTAATTAAATATTTTATAAGAATATATAAAAGTTTCCTAAATTCTAAAAATTTAAAACTATTTATATTTAGTGACTTGGACTTCATTTTTATATTTCAATATTAAATCATTTTTCTCTGATGCTTATTTTCTCATCTTTAAGCATACTCCATAACTAGAATTGTAAGACTTTGAACAATTTTCACCCAAAAATTTTCTAAAATTATCAGGTACCATTGCTGAGGGCAGTATCATGAAAGCTGGCGCTATTCCTGTCTAAATACATCCCAAGAACTCAATCACTGGTGTGTAGAAAGATATTGTTCCTGTGGAAACAAAAAGGAATGTGCAAATTAATAAGTTCATTACTCATTGGTGGCATGGTAGAAGATAGGGACGGGTGAATGAACAGATGGGTGATTATTACTTTATATTTTTTGTCTTATTGCACGTATTACTCCATCAGCTTGGTATGATTGTACGTGAATTATTGGACGTTACGCCCAGCTTATAGTAATTAGTTCAGTAGGAGTATTACAGCTTAAAGAGAATAGCATTCGATATGCTCTACCGGAATCTTTGTTTACATCGATCACTTCTTTAGAGTAAGCTACTACTTCCAAATCATTTGGTTCTTAGTGGTCCTTTTCTCTTCCTTTCTTCGCCACTTTCATTTTTTAATTTGAGACATTAAAATGTTCAAATTTATTATTTAATGAATAAATTGTAAATTATTATTGAAATTGACGAAATATCATAGAAATTTCTTTAAAAAAAAATGGTGAAAATATTGGAAAGAGAGGGAGATGATAGTAATTATAATTTCTTATTATTTCATTTCATTTCATTTTTAAAATGATGGATGAGTAATTGGATGGGATCAGTAGCTTTTCGAGAGATAGCTCCTTTCCATATGGCAGCAATATACTTTCTTCACTTAAAAATATAGGAGATGAAGGACTAGTGAGAAGGTTAAGAAAATCAGTAGAAATGATTTTATGCTTTCATGTGTACTGTTGAAAGATAGGATAATAACAAGCAGCAGTCGAGACCTCGTTCGGGTACTGATGCCATCGGAGATTAGCCAAATGAGAAAGATACAAAATACTGCTAGGGATATGAAGTGACATTATTCATGGTAAAGGTCATCAACACATCTCTTCCTCCTTCTTCCCAAAAGCATTTCAACCTCGGTAATTTGTGACGCTATTACTTCTCTTCAATGCATCGCTACATATTCAAGTCAACATTGTGATGGTCTGACCGATCATTTAATCAACCGTTTCCTTATCATTTTGTTCTTATAAATGTAGTGCAGTGGATAAAAGCATGATAGAAGTGCATCTCGCATTTAACTGCTCAATTCATCTATCCCTTGTTTGCTATTTAACTAGAGAAACTGTGGAACTATCATTAAGTGTATTTAATTGTTTCAATACTGTTTTAAAATGAACGCTTCATCTTTAATCAGAAATCACCCATGAAGCTTGCTCTTATGATTTTGATTTTAGCAATGATCGATTGTTGTGCAGCATGAGTCGTTTTTACTCAGTTTAAGAGAAGGCTGAAACCAAATTTTTTTTTCAGGTAGACAAAAATAGATCATACGTTACAAAGATTTTCAACGAATTAAATTACATTTTCTCCACTGCTGTTATAAATTTTTTGCAGCTTATCTGAAATCCGTTTCAATATTTTCATTGTTGAATATTTTCCACTCCTCTTAATATTTCCACTGTTTTTATCAAAACTTGCTGAAGGAAACTTATCAAAATGCCATACCGTTCGGAATTGAAAAGACCTGATTTGAAAGGTTTAGTTTTTTTTTCAACAAATTCTTTCAAATTTTAACATTCGAAATGAATTTCACTTGATTAGCATCTCTTTCATCTGCACCACAAATAATCAGAATATATTCACTGTAAAGCGTACAAAGTTGTTTTTCCAAACATTTATTTCCTAGCACTTACAAAATAGTGGTGTCATTGATTTTTCTGGAAAACCGAATTTGTGGAGGGTAATTACAGTATTGTCAGATTTAAAAATATTGTATGTGTACACAAGAAAGAATTTTGGGTACAAGTTTGATAACACATAGAATTTATTCGTGTAACAGGTTTCGTAAAGGATGAATTTATGCACGTAGAGAGCCTTGAATTGAGGGGAGAAATGTAGTAATGCTATTATAATTGTAAGTAATATAGTAGTGATTCGAAAATGGAATTGCTCAATATTGAACACATGTGATGCTTAAAAATACGCATGCAAATATGAAAGCAACAGTTGTTCCCTCTATTATATTTACTCAGGATTATTAGTTACTGTGAATGCTTCAAGAAATCTTAAAATCATCAATGTAATATTTAAAGTTTTTTTTCTATCGAGTTTTTAACTTATGCTTTCATATTTTGTTCAGTACATTCACTGATTTAACGAAAGTCTGAATTTCTACTCATTTCCAACTCAACAAATTAAGTAACATGAAAACAAGTTAGTGGCAGGCAGATGTAAGAGTTTATAATACATGCGATATCTATTCATGAATGAAATGGTGGCATTCACAGTGCTTTAATATAGAATAATATGATATGTAATGATCTAAATTCCTCCCATACAAATTTGGTTAGTCCAAGTATTTGATATGTCCATTTTAGTTTCTGGTACTTTAATTAAATTTAGCAAGAAGTCATCAATTTTCAGGTACATTTCCATGTTCGGTTTGTGGCAAAGTATTTTGTCATTCGTCATCACTAAGCCGACATCGTATGCAAGCTCATTTCAAAAGCTACACTTGTACACAATGCAATCAGGAAATTTCTAGTGAGTTTTATTGTTTTATTTCGAAGTTTTTATTCAAAAACAATCGCGTTTCTATCAGTTATAATTTTGAAATTTCATATATATATAAGTGTAATTTTTTTCAGGGTAACTTTAATGTGTTTTGTTGAGCTAATTAACAAAAAACAAAATCAGATATCAAAACTATTTTTATTCCAATCTAAACGATACGAAATTTTAGTCCACTCATTAACCGAAACATTTCAAATTTCATTAATCAAGCATGAATTAATTTAAATTATAAAAAATGCTTTAGAATTTGACTGCTTATTTGATTGCAAACGGAGCATGTTTAAAGAGAAGTGGTAGTCAATTGTTTAAGATTTGTGTCAGTCTTTCAAACTTCGTATCACTTTTCTCTATATAAGTATGAGATGAATGGTTGGATTGCTGGTTTGGTATGTTTGTTGGAAATCAGTTGTCCGCGGTATGTTACCCTGTATGCTGTCTGTTACTGCCCTAAATTTGTGCAATAACGAATGCAGCTTTCTCAAAAATGCCAATCATTGCACGGTATCACTTCCATTTCTACTGGATAGTATCCTTTAAAATGTTTCGGCTTCAAATTTTTGCAAAAATGAAGAGTGATAAGACGAAAATAACATTATTTGAAAAGTAGTAATATAGAATATTATTATCGAACTGGAAGTAAGGATGACCCAAAGTGTACTACGTTTAAAATACTTACTGTAAAAATTTGAGTCTGTTATTCACTATTTCACTATTTTTATAGCAGTTGCGTATAACAGATTTTTGTCTTTTTAAATAAGCATTTTGAAAAAAATTTGTAAAATTTATGTCACCCATTTATAAATTCCATTAATATTTAGCTTTGCGCTAAATTATTGCTTGAATTCACAATGCACTTCCAATATTAATCTTGACCAAAAAATTTAAGAAATTATCCATTTGCCCTTCACTGCTTTTGCCCGCTTTTTAAATAATTTACTAAATGAATGAATGTTCAACTTAAAATGTATTCCAATTTTATTTGAAATAGAATTTCAAATAAAATTCATTTAGTAAGCAGTTTATGACTAATATCCTAAACGTATTTCTTTAAAAATTTTCCTTGTGTATGAAATGTGACAAAGTGTAACAAATCTTCACCTTGTTCAAAACTTTTTCATTACTTCCTACAGGAATATGTGAAAGAACATGAAATAATTTTCCTGTCAAAAAATTACAACTTCTATTTTGAATCTAAATTATATAATAGCTTGTTGGCTTTGTCATATGTATATTAAATTTTAAATATGACAAAAAATTAATTTTATTCTAGGAAATTTTGACATTTTTTTAAAGTTATCAATCAAACTTTAGAGGATTTAGAGAGTGATGAGTTATGAAGAGGGATCGTTACGATGTGCTCGATTACACAATGCTCTTTCGCTCTGTACAGTATGGTACGGGGTCAAGAAGTTGTAAAAATGAATTGTAGATGATCGGTGAAGTGCACAAAGCGTACATGACACACTTTTTGCTTAATTGGATTTACATTCTCTTTTCTCCTTCTTGAATTCACTGCTGATTATCCTTTTATTTCGAAGGATACGGGCAGTTTGTTAAATTACATGGAAGAGTAGAATGATGAGACAATAAGTGGACGTCCATCTTCGAAGAGAAAGGAGAACTAACTCGGTCGCTCTAAACATCCCTCATAAATTTTATAAGAAATGAATCACAGGTTAAACTAATCAACTACAAAAAAATAATCCAAAACCCAAGAATCTTCAATTTTAACATCCTAAATTTTCTTCAATTTTAATTCACTATTTCGTACATCTGCATTCATTTAATTCAATATTCAATTTTTTCATTTCCTTTGTTCACTTTTTTGCACCATGCTTAAAACGAAACGAGACATACATTTATATTCATTTATTGCAATCTTTATATTTTTTACATCCGAGTTAAAACATTATTATAAAATTTTTTGCTATCGTAACGATCAAAATTAAATACAAAAGAATCCTGCACACATTCTTGAATCCTTTCGAGGAAAACAATATATACAAGATGTTTATAATTTAATATAATAAACGATGACAGGCTGCTCTGGAAATGAAACGCTCCGGTCGCATATGTTCCGGATACATTCTATTTCGCGAATGTTTATGTGTCGGTGCTGTAATTGGGCATATCCTGATAAGACAAGCTTACATATACATATGCAAAGTATGCTGCGGAATGGTACTCCTGGTGATGTTTCTGTCCTTGCTAGAAGTTCCAGCGATGGTCCCGGAATGGCTGGAGGTTCGATTTCTGTTCCTTTTTAAGCATTTTTTAATTACTTCCAGTATCGAGATTGCAATGAATAATACGAATAATACGAAAAAGTTCTGTGCATTCACATAATTATCATTTATTTGAAAAGATAAATGAGCTGGGACTTATTCTTCAAGTTTATTCCTTGGCAAAGAGGCTCAGTTATTGGCTCATAAATTAAGTGTTGTTCAAACAGCATGGCCCATCTAACTCCAGATCATTGCTGCTTATAGTTTCTTGCAGTCGTGGGAGAAATGTCTCCAAGAGAACTTGAAGGAAGCCCATCAGTAAGTCCTCCAGAAGCCTGTGGAAATGAATCACCGCCAGGCGAACAAACACATGTTAAAAGTTCATTATTTGGTAATGGTAATGGTTTATTGGACAGATCCATATTTCCGGCGACGCTTAATAATACCGATAGTTTATTTCGATTTGTAGCCAAGGTTAATATTATTCACATTGACGAATTCATTTTATAAATTCAACGATTATTCATGAACTCACTTCAATTTCCAAACATCATAAGGACTGAAGCGGGTTTTCATACATTGCAGTGCATTTCTTGATGATGATGCGATTGTAGGCCGAATGGGCCTCCTGAAAGAGGTTCTAGGTGTCAGTTGTCAACCAGTTCCATTTAACGCTGCTCAAGCTCTCGGCGTTCCCGAAATATTGGATGTTTAAAAGTAGACTTATCTGTTGTTGCTGATCTTAACCGATACCTTTTCCAAGTGAAAATGAATCCCCCGTATAATGATTTTGTTAAAATATACTCACTACTTTCAGCTGTTTTTCTAGAGGTATACAGTATCACTGAATAATTTTTGCAGCCAGATAATTTGCTGACACAAATAAACACAGATAGCAGTGGTCAAAATAGTTGGCTGACAGCATGGTTGGCAAATAATGCTTTTACTGTGGCGCCTTTCAATTCTACCAATTTGTTGGCAGGTTTCTTTTTAACAACATTTTAGAAATACAGTACAGAGTCCGCTTTGCAATAGTTATTGTTGATAATACTAAACATTGTTTTAATGTTGTTCACTAGTTATAGATTTGAATTCCACTTCAAAAAAAGTTAAAATGTAAGTTGGGACTACTTATTATATTTTAAGTTACGTCCTTTTTCCTCACATTTTGAATAGTTATTATTAAAATTTTAATTTATCCAGAATTTTCAGCTTACTATTTGATTTAACAATTTTAAAATTCTAGTGACAAGCAATGCAGAAAGTATAAATTTGCAAAAAGAGGGAACGATAACGACAAATATAGCTCTAAAAGTAGAATCGAAGGAGGATGAGCAAAATTCAAATAGCATTGATGTCAGTGTTGCTAAAAGCACCTCACTTGCATCGCCAAGTAAAACACCAAATTCCACCTCTTCTTCACAAGTACAATTTTTGCTTCTTATTGGTCAATGTTCAACCTAATAATAGCTTTGATACGCTTTTACAAACATAATAAAAGTTTATCTGACAGAATTGTTTGATTTACTGTACATAACCCTATACATTCAATACATTTAAAACGATATAAATATCTCAATTACCTTCTTTTGCAACAATTAAAATTTTAATATTTGTGCTTTTGTGTATGCTTAAATCATTTTGAAATCAGACACCGTGAATCAATATAATTACAGTCATTGAGCACAGAAATATTTCGTTTAAGATTTGATGTAAAAACAAATCTCTAAATAATGAGAAAAAAAAATTCAACAGGCAAAAAATGGATAGATGAGAAAAATCAAAAATGATGAACAAATAAAGAAATTAAAATAATATTTCGTAAAGGAATGATGGTTCATAAAACGGCACTAGAAATGAGATATTAGATTAGGAACTATCTTATTCTTGTCAACTTATAATTGAGGCTTCTGACTGTGTCGACCATAACAGAGTGAAATAACGCTTTATTTATATGTTTGGAAGATATTTCGTGCAAGGTATAAGATAGACTGAAATAATGTATCCAAAAACAGAAATTCTATTCGATTCAAATATTGAGAAGAGAGAACAAGGAGATGACTGTCCATCACGCTCTATTTCATTCGCTATTTTCTTTCTTTCAATTGGATGTTTCAGATTTTGTAGCTTTTCATTCCATCTTTATTCTTTGGGTACCTATTTCTTATATCAAATTTTTTGATGCTTCAAATTATGCCTCATAACTCGAATTTTGTTGATCTTTGATGTTCCTCAGTGATGTTTATTTGATGATTGTATAGCCCAAAAACAAGGCATAAAAATATCAAGTGCAAGAAAAATTTTCTCAAAGTAAATATCAAATTTAATAGCTTAAATCATCCTCAGCTTAAGAAACTTGACTAAGACTTTAAAAAATTAGCTTGGAACTATGTATTTTTTGTGCTTATGTTTGTTCAACAAAATTTTAGGAATGTAAGCGATCGGTAAATGGAAGCTCACTGGACGATTTACTTGAAAAGAAAGGCTTAAGTGTTACTCGAAATCATCGAAATAAACGGAAAGCCAGCAATCCTCAGCAACTACGGGCATCAACAGCTTTTGTCGCTGCAGATGATGAAGACGATGAAGTAAAAATTTCGTGTTTTTTAATTTTTAAAAGCTGTTTTAAGAACAAAAAGGAAAAAGTCGTATTGTTGAATAAAGTAACGAAACTAAGTTCCATAAAGTTTCGAGCATCTCAATAAAATGCGATCTTTTTATTCGTTTCATTTCTTTAATTCTTAATTTTCTTAGAAATGAAGAATTAAAAATCAAACAGTGTAAAATTTTCGAAGTCAAATCCAAATTTTTGGATTTAGCTGGTGCAAATGTTTTGAAATTTATTTGTTAAAAAACCAACTCATGGTAGCAAAATTATTCATTTTTTTAAAATTTGAACAATTCGATTCTTATGCAAAAAAAGAAAAAATTGAAATCAAATGATAATGATATATTTATTTGTCCGTTAATGAGGCATCATTTATAGGGATTTGCCACACTACCGCGAAAGCAGAATATCATTGATACAAATATCAAAATAGACGAATGTGGTAAATTACTCAACAACGGTAGCAACGGTAGCCTTCCTCTAACAGCAACAGCAATAGCAACAACAGTAAGCAGAACAACTCCAAATGGTGTTACACTCGTGGATGCTTCCACTAGTCCTATTAAGAGCTGTGATTGCACGGTAACTTCTACAAATTTCATTTTTTTCAGTTTTCTTTACCTTTACATCTTTGTCTTTTCAATAATGACATGTACCGGAAAACAAGAGCAGTTTTCATTGTGAAAATCAAATCCTTTTGTTGATGCATCTTTAGTTTGTTACATATGTTGAGATTCTCATGCACAAATAACG